GATGTAGTCCATGTCTCTCCTACCCCTGGCCTCACCTTTGTCACAGCAGGGAGTGATCAGTACCTGTGGATCTCAACATGGTCTTTGTTGCTTGGCTACAGGCTGGGTACCAGGAATATCACTGTCAGTTTCTACAGGGATGATGGGCCTCTTCTGCAGCTGGCCTGCAGGGATCCCGTCAGGCTTTATCCTGGGCATTATGGTTCCTGTCGTCATCATCATCCTCATGCTTTTCATGATAGTTTCCTACATCTGCATCACCTCCACAGTTCTCTCTATTCCCTCTAATTTCACTCACCAGAAGGCATTCTTCGCCTGTCCCTCCTGTCCCAGCACAGTTCCCTGTCTGTCAGAGGCCAAGGCAAGATCCAACCATAGCCTTCCTGAAAGTTCCATCCCTTGAATGCACTGGACCTTCAAGGAGCCTGGCAGGGCAGGAGGAGAGCAGTAGGTTGGGCCATAGAGATGTACACCTGCAGCAGAGCAAGGGGAGGGCTGTGCTATTGCATAGAAACCCCTGGCCAGGGACCAGGTCAGAGCTATTCTTTGTGGTTACACTGGGCTTTGGTGGGCTTGGTTCTAATGCTCTTGTCAGTTTCCTACATTTGCATCACATCCAGAACCCTCTCTATTCCCTCTAATTTCACTCACCAGAAGGCATTCTTTGCCTGTCCCTCCTGTAACAACTTTTTTCCCTTTATCAGAGGACAAGGCCAGATCCAACTGAAGACTACTTGAAAGTTCCATCCCTTGAATGCACTGGACCTCCAAGGAGCCTGGTATGGCAGGAGGTGAGAAGAAGGTCCAGCTGTAGAAATTTACACCTGCAGCAGAGCGAGGGGATGGCTCTGCTGATGCATAGAGACCCCTGGCCAGGGACCAGGTCAGAGCTACTCTTTATGGTTACAATGGGCTTTGGTGGGCTTGGTCCTGATGCTTTTTGTCTTGTGATCCCAGCTGAACCAGCTGGCCTGAGGAGAGATGCTACCATCCTGATATCACGTAGGAATGATTTTCAGTGCCATTGCTGTGCTGCTGGCATCACACAGAATCCGTGTGAAAGCAAAGCTCTCACAAAACAGATCCGCAGGTTGTGCTGATTTGTGAAGTCACAGGTGTGAGTGTGCAGGGAGCAGTGATATTGCATGGAGCACAGGGGCTATTTCAGCTCCAGGGCTCCGGGAATATGAATGGATCTTGATGCCTGGGGAAAGACACTCCAATTTCAGTTCTGTGTTTGGGCTGGTGCACACCCT